CCCACGAGCTGCCAGCTGCCCCGTGGCAGTGTACTCCCATAAAGATTATAACCTTGCAAACGCTGTGGGCTGTTCTACCCTGCCCTAGAGGATCACTGTGTGTTGGAATTGGCTCAGTGGCAATGGTAGTAGTAAGAGGTAGCCAAGGAAGACATAGCACACCTGCATTGTCACAGCTTGCTACAACCATGTGGAGAACGTTTTTTGCAGAATGTTATTGTTGTGTGCCATTGAGTCGATTCTGACTCATAGCCAATCCTACACGGCAGAGTAAAACTGCCCCATAGTATTTCCCAGGCTGTGATCTTTACAGAAGTTTCCCCCTGGAGCAGCTGGTGGGTTTGAACTACCAATCTTTCAGTTAACAACTGATCCCTTAATTCGGGGCTTCACACTGGTTCGAAACGGTTTGAATGGTCATGGCTGATGAAGCACATGTGTTAGGTAGTGACCAAATCTCTTGCTCATGTGATTTTGACCCAAGTGGGAAACAGGCATCAGTGTACTGCTTAAAGATGGTGACTGACACACATTCAAAGTGACTGGCCATCATCTTTGACCAGGGCACCGCTCCCTGTTTCCTATTTGGGTAGAAATCCCGTGCTTGAGAGATTTGGTTGCTATGCAATGCATACACTCTGTTGGCCATGACTGGACCGTTTCTAGCTGGTTTCAAGCCTTGGCTTAACCATGGTGCCACCAGGGCTCCCAACCAGAACATTCCCCTTGCCATTAAACTGCTACATTATCCTTCAATAAGCCATGGATTTGCATAGACTGGTAATCTGAATAAACCACCGGCGAGCTGAATGAGTGTATATCCTTGGTTTGACTTTCATTCTGGAATGCCTTGTCTGCTGTCTAGGGTGGAGTGTAGGCACACGTCCCTGGGCCGCAGTGTCGTGGTCACAGTCATCAGGCTTTCTTGAGGCTCCTTCTTCCCCTCCTCCATCCACCAATGTAAGCAAATCTGACTTTCTCTATAGTTTTTTCTTTGAGAAAATTCGAAGAAGAAACATACAAGTTTTAATGAAATGCAGTTACACCATTAATTGCCACCCACTGCCTGGAGATACAGAATCATGCATTCATTTAGGAAGCAGAGAGCCCATGGCTTATTTTGTTTGAGGATGTTCTTGTCTTTTGTTTGTTTCTTTCCACTTCAAAGCCCTGGAACCTTAGGGAAACCCATCAGCCTGGCAACGCTCTGACTATTTATGGGAAGATCCAGTTGGCAGGAAGCTCTGACTGTGATGACATCCCATGTGGAACATTCTAGAAATGTTATTGTAGAAAGAAGGGTGCCAGGTGTCCAGTAAGTTTCTCTGTTAATTTTACAGCTGGCTGCTGAGTTAGCACACCTCAGTGTCAGCCTCGGCCTTATCTCCTGACTGATTTAAATTAATACCCTGGGCTGCACACCTGAGGAGTGAGAGGTGCTCAGGTGACATTTGGCAGAATGTTCTAAACAATTACTGCACATGAGTAGGCACTTCACCAGCTGGGGAGAGTCTCTCTTGTGCTTTTGACATCATTGTAAGAGAAACTTTTAGGGTTGCCAAGAGCATGTGAATATCAAAATTACACATACAGTCTTTTCCTTACATGGAATGCACCAAGATGTGGGTTTTATTTATTTATTTTTAATTTAGATATAAAGACAGTTGAAGAGCCTTGGGAATTAAAATCATTTGTTTCATGTGTATATTTTACCCTAAAAACAAGCCTTGCTGGTGGAAAGTTTTCATTGGAGAAAGGAATTATTTCTTCCCCTAATTGGTGAGTTTACAAGGAAAGTGATCATGATTCAGATAGAAATCTATGAAAATTTCTCTGTTTTCCTGATTCTAAGCTATTCAGTAATTTCTAATTTCTGAATGTCCTGCAGAGTACATACTCATTTTCAGTAAAGAATTGAAAGAACATGAGTAGATACAATATAGTCTGTTCTCTATACTATCTTGAGGAGAAAGATTTGAGTATGAATGTGCTGGGTCTCAGAAACAGGTTTGGTAAGGAGAAAGGGAATTCTCTTCTTTTGCAAAAGAACGGTGACTAAACTTGTGTCACTTGTAGCCATTCATTCTTCAGTAGCATGCATCTAAAATAATTTTCATTTTAAAGTAACATGCACTTACCATGAAAAGTCCAGCACTACAGGACTGTATGGAATCAGAAAGGAGAGTGCTCTTTTCTGCTCCCCAGAAAACCAGAAAAACCAAGCTCACTGCCAGCAAGTCGGATCCAACTCATAGCGACCCCTCCTTGAGTTTCCGAGGTGGTATCACTATTGAAGTCGATTACCCAATCTTCCTTCCGAGGAGTGGCTGGTGGGTCTGCTCCCCAGAAGGAATTTGAATGGCTGTTTTATTACTGCACGCCTTCTCTCTGCCAGGCACTGTGTTGGGTGCTGGAGATACAAAGATGAATCAGAAGCTTATCTGTCTGTTGCAGAGCTCCTCCGGCTTTATCACCTGAAATCCCTACAAGAAAGATGACTTAGGACCTTTGAGAGAAAATAAGGATCCTTATCTTGAGATCATCTTAATGTAGGTGATGGCCTCTAAAGTAGGTGATCACTTTGTATGTGACTAGACCAAAAAACCAAACCTGCAGTCCTTGAGTCAGCCCCATGGATTGCCTAGGAGCACGATTCTGTGACCTTTCAGAAACCAGTCACCAGGACTTTCTTCCAAGGCATCTCTGGATGTGTTTGAAACACCAACCTTTTGGTTAGTAGTCACACGTGTAACCATTTGGGCCATCCAGGGACTCTGTTATAGGTGACATTTCCTCAGAATTCTGGAAAGGACTAGCAATAATGAATCATTTCTTCTTTCAGCAACTATTCACCCTGCGTGCTTACTGCTCTTTGAAGCACTGTGGCTGTCACCGTGCATCAAGCATACAGTTGCCCTTGTTCTCACAAAACTTATCCTCTAGAGGAGGAGTGATACACAACTAAAGTTGTGTGTGAATCACTGCTGTGTGTGCTCGGAAGGCTGTGCTGTAGCCCGTATGTCTTAAACGGATTCATGTTTCTTGCCCTCTGCTCACAGCAAGGCCAAGAAGAACAGTGTAGAAGCAGGATGCCTTGATCCTTGATCTCAGCCCAGATTGCCTCTTCTCAAGCCAGGTTCTAGGGGAAAATTGCCGCAAAGTTATGACAGTGAAGAAAGATTTTTATTCAGCATATGCAGCAAAGGAAAAGAAAGATGAGAAGTGGACAGACGTGGCATCAGAACAATGTTGGCCAAGTCGAAGGAGTATTATAAAAACCCACTGTATAGATTACATATTACAAATCAATGAAAGCTTCATCTCTTCATAGACAGGCTATAATTACTGAATCACAGTGATGGTTTCTTTCAATTAATCCGTGTACAGGTTTTCAGTAAAAATACTCAGGAGTGTCTTCACTGGCCCCCAAACCCAAAACAGGATCAAGATAAAGGTGGTAACAACAACAACTTACTGCTGTAGAGTTAGATCCGAATCATAGCGATCCCTCCTTGGGTTTCTGAGGTGGTATCATTATGGAAGTGGATTGCCCAACCTTCCTTCCAAGGAGTGGCTGGTGGGTTTGAACCACCAGCCTTCTGGTTAGCAGTCAAATGCCTTAGGCACTATGCCACCAGAGCTCCTAAAGGTGGTAACTACCCTTATTCAAAATGTCTTATTCTAAAAAGATATGCATAGGGCAAGTTCCCTAGCTCTTTGTATAAGCCCCTTTCCTGTACCCTAGTTTATCTACTCTTCCTGAGATGAATCTGACCCTCCCAGAATTATCACGTCTACTGCTTCTCCCTAGGCTTTCCCGGAATGATCCACATGGGTGAGTTGAGGTCAGAAACACTGGGGAAGTAACACGGAAAACTCAAAATGGCGTCTGAACTTAGGTCAAAGCTCAAGATGGCATTAGGGTTCCAACTGTAGTTTCTCAAACCAAATGGCTTTGATGCACTTCGACCAGCAGTGATGTCAGTTTTGGGAACAGGCAAGACAGTACGGACACAGTGCAGGGTGCTCTCCCCACCCTGGTCTGAGAATGTCTGTGGTGAAGCAACAGCTCACCCCACCCAGCACTCTCTTGTGCTCACAGCCTCTTACTATTGAAGCCTAACTCAGACTTTTTCTCCTGTCTTGGTTTTGGCTTAGAGAGCCCTGGTGGCACAGTGGTTAAAGTGCTTGGCTGCTAACCAAAATGTTGGCAGTTGAATCCACCAGCCAATCCACTGGGGAAAAATGTGGCAGTCCACTTCCAAAAAGGTAACAGCCTTGGAAACCCTATGTTGTTGTTATTATTATGTGCTGTCGAGTTGGACCCAACTCATAGTGACCCCTCCTTGGGTTTCTGAGGCAGTTTCACTAAAGAAGTAGATTCCCCAAGCTTCCTTCCAAAGAGTGGCTGGTGGGTTTGAACCACCAGTCTTCTGGGTAGCAGTCAGGTACCTTAGGCACTTCGCTACCAGAGCGCCCTGGGAAACATATGGGGCTAACTTACTCTTTTCTATAGGATTGCTATGAATTGGAATCAACTCAACTGCAACTGATCTGTTTTGGATTTATATCAGTGATTCCCATTGGAAGGTGATTTTGCCACCCAGGAAATATTTGATAATGTCTGCAGACATTTTTGGTTGTCCTGTTTTAGTGTATGTGTGGGGGATGC